CAGCTCAGTTACATTTCAATTACCAAGAATCAGCTACACACAACCCTAAGCTGTGGTTTACACCTCTGCGATGTGACTACGCAGGTGCTACAGAGAAGCATTGCAATGCATGGCAGTCCATTAATTTGAATGGGCTATCCTACTGCAGCTAGATCAAAATCACAGGAGTGCAAGCCCTCTTTTTTCTCTAATTGCATGAAAATAGGCTACCATGTGATACAATGCATATGTGATGTCTAGGTACACTGGGATGCCATCAGGAAATAATGGCACCGCAGCGCATCTAACATTGCAACATACAAATGCAGGATTTTGTGCGGCATTCAAACACACTCCCACATGGCAAAGATGTGAATGGAGCCCTAAAACAAAATGGAAGAAAAAAATCTGGAAAAAAAACAAAAAACATGGGTGACCACAACTAAAGCCAAGAGGGAGAGATTGAAAAAGCAATACAAAAAAAATACAACTTCAGTCAAATTTGTTTTCCACTATGAACATTTTCTGTTGCAGTTTGTGTAATGGTTCAGGTGATTTCCCTCACTTCTTGTGTGCCAACAGAAACCAGAGGTAAGCCAAATCTATCCAACGGAGACACAGACAGGGATCAAACATTTTTCTAAAGCATAGTAGTGAGGGGGAAAGCACCTCAGTCAGGTTTATATTACTGTATGGTAACTCTTGTGCGCAGAGAGTTAGATCAGTGGCCACTCAATGTCAGCGGCAGCGAAGTGTCGGCAGATGAGGGGGAAATCGCTGAGGACCAAAGATTGATCCGATAGAGCTAAAGAAGGGCACATTTTAAAGGTAAATGTGCCCTTATGTGCAAGTATGCTGTACATACTTGCACACTAGGGCAAAAACAAAACTATTCAAAGCAGTTTACTTCCACTTTAAAGAGACGTTCTATTAATGTGTGAGAATAATTACTAAAACCCATTTCTAGCTTATGACAAAATTATACAAATCAAATCAGGGTGTCTGAAAATAGTAAGTGCCCTACTTTGTTTTCTTTTTTCTAAACCTCCCCCTACCCCAACAGAAAACTGAAATGCCGGTCAGTATGCTGTAATCTATGGTCTTTCTACAGCGGTCCGACACCCCAAGCAAAATGGGATCTGCAGTGCGATCTAATCAGCAATGTTCATGCTCCCTGCTCATTGGAGCAATGTAGGTCCGATTCAGAAGGAGGTGTTGCCAAGACTACTGTAAAGAGCCCACATCTCTTGGAGAATGCATCGGCCAAGCACAGGGTATTCTGCTGAGGCAGGTTTACAAAAACAAAAAACACTTACTATATTGAGTCACCATGATCTGATTTTCTATAAACTTTCCTATAAATGAAAATTGGGCTTTAAAGAATGCATTTTAAGGTAAGAAGTGAAATTCTTAAAAATGAACATACACCTCATGAATATGGTACCAGGTTTACCAACACAGCCAAGAAATAAATGCCAAATGATACACACACCTGGTAAGCTGGATCAACCACAATATAACAGTAAATATTGCACATTGCCTGCTCTCACTACCCAATATGTTGACAATGCCCTGGTCTAACCTTTATCCTGGCTGGAGAAGGTCGTGGCCTCTTCTTGACTTCTATCCAGCTCTCAGAGTCCAGGTCTGGCAAACTTGCCGACAGCCCCTTTGGCATAGTCTTCAGGTTACTAACCGCCTCGGACTTTGAGGGCATAGCGGGGCTGGAGGATCTCGGTGATCCAGGGGCTGATTCTGCAAATAAAATGTTTACAAAAAATATTTAGAAAAAAAAAAAAAAAGCACGATGGGTAATGAGCACCATTTACTGATCTGCCTCACAATACAACACTAGCATAAGCGAAGGTGAAAAACATAGGTACAACTCTACATATCTGGTGGACGTGTTTTGGAACAAAATACACTTTTGGATATGTAAAATAACCACCTCTTCTAATACCCTTGTTCCCAAACACTATCTTTTGCATGGCACTACTCTTGCTATAAGCTCATATTAACACTCCCTTATGATACATCTCATCAATGTCGCTAAAACTTTACTTCCAATTTACTGAAAATCCACCGCCCCTCCTGTCATTGAATGGAGGAATAGACTTGAAGTGTCCAGAATGGAGGAAGCAAAGCCCATCTCCCAAGATAAATTGGATTCATACATTTTTGTTAATAGTTGGAGTACTTGAATGCTTTTTTGGATTTGACTCCCAAGTTTAATGTCACTTTAAGAAATGCCAATCACTGATTGTAAACATCCGATATCTTGACTACTTCGTCTTTGCTACTTCATTCACAAATTTTTATTTGATAAGAGAAATGTCCCTGCCTACTGAAAGTTTGAGCAAGGCGGATCACTCCATGTTACAAATGGAGGGCTGGAAGGAAGGTGTATTAGAATATGTGAGGTAGTTGGTTAGATATAAAGTGGATAATATATTATATGGAATTAAAAAAATATAGATACCTGATCTGTGAATAGAAAATATTTTAAACATGCATTTTATACCATCATATTTGTTATTTTTCTCTATACCCACCATTTATATTAATACATTAGAATGTGATAATCTTCTTTTATGTCTTTTATTATCCTGCCTGTTCTTCGTTCCTAACTCATTTGATAGGAATTTACTTTATAATTAAGTCCTAACACGCGCTAGAATACATATGTGTGTAATCATCTTTGTATAAATACTCTTTGCTTCTGTTCTTTTTCTTTTGTTCTGGTACTCATGCCGCTTATTTATCTAAATATGAAATGTTAAGAAGGGGGCTGTGGGAAGGTATGATTACTCTAACCCTGCCTGTACTATGCTGGTAGATCAGTTGTAAATTAGATTTCTCTGCTCTAACAAAGGTCTACAAACTTAGACACATTGTACGTTAATGAGAAGAAACCCAATCAAAGTGAAAGTTGAGGGTCAAACTGAGGTACGAACTGCCCAGAGTAGCTTGGAATCTGCACAAAGACCTTCACCAAAGAAAGAGCTGAAAGTAAATATATATTTAAAAATAACTTTTAGTATGCTGTGTGAATAGGACCACATGACAGACAGACATACATTTTCAAAAATTTCACTGCAAAAGCACAACTACACTAAGCCTGTAACGATCTAGAGAATAGCAAAGAACCCTTATAAAAGATGATGAATAAGGGTAGTCACTCGCACTCCAAGGGTAGTTAAGTCAATAGTGTTTATTGACTATAATGATGCACATCTCCTAAGCAACGTTTCGGGACCGTGCGGCCCCTTCCTCAGGCAAAAAGATGAGGTCCAATTTGCTCTAACAGGAAAAAAAATAATCTTTCCCAACTCCATAAGGCCATAACATTCTCATTTATCCAGGTCATGGTATAAGCTAGTAGTAGTCACATTCAACTAGACTTTTTTTGTAACGATGAATAGGTTTCTTAACTGCCTTGATCACCTCTTTTCAAGGGAGAAGAAATTGAGTTATTCTGTTATACTGGTGACTGGTCCTTTGCCATGCGTTTGCCTTTCCTGGCCACACCATCCACAGTACAGGTCATCTTTAAAAAAACCAAGTACTGCCAAAACCTCTTAATTACATCTCATGTTTTTAAAATGATAACCTTCCATTTTAGTCACAAGCATAAACACAAGCCTACCTGTCTCCTTCTGAGATCCTTGCCGGGGTACGAACTCTGGACAGTTGATAAGTTGGGAAAAGTCTGTCTGAGAAGCATCTGCTGGAATGCCTAGAGGCCAGATATTAGGCTGCTCCTTTGTACGAACTTTCGCATCAATTACCTCTACCACTTTGCTGTCTTTTAATGCCTAGAAGAGAAGGAAAATTATATACATATACACATACACACTGAGTGGCCAGATTATTATGACCACCTGACGTTTGTAGGCAAACTAGCTATAATTAGCTATAATCTCGTGCTGAAGTTGCTAGAGGGCCAGACCATTATAAATAGGGAAGCAGGTTGTTTACCACGACAGTAGAAGTGATTTTTTTTTTCCTGAAGATATGCGTAAACAATGCAATTTAACAGCCTTTGAACGTGGGATGATTGTTGGCGCTCGGAGCCATGGAGCGAGTATCAGCAAAACAGCAGAATTCGTTAAACTTTCAAGAGGGGCTCATTGTTAAAGTGTTTAAAGACTGAACTGTCAGCCGAAAATCTGGGTCTGAACGTGCGAATTGTGGCAGTCAGCGACTAGTCAATGTTAGGGCAGAACGGAGAGTGGCAAGACTGGTACAAGACAACAGAGGGGCAACAGTGCAGTGTCAGATTCCTCGCATCACCTTTCAACATCTCGTGGAGTCACAAGGCGGCCCAACTAAGTCATCTCGTGGCCCATCGAAGTACTGATGGGGTGATCATAATAATCGGGCCACTCAGTGTGTATATAGCATTCACATTGGGAAAAATACATAAAACAAGAGGGCCTATTCACTCCCTTCCAGAAGAAGGACAAATAAGACTTTAGCACACTGTTTGAAAGGAGAACTATGAGGCGAGTGATTTCCACTAATCCTCATAGTTAGATCCGACCTGTGACAAACAAGCTGTCACAGGTCAGCTCTATCGATCAGGAAGCAAGTAGAAACATGCCGCCGATCCGCTCACTTCCCGATTGTCTCCCTGCAGTCACCGCTCCCCGCTGGGATTCCCCTTCCCCTCTCTGATCCTCCAGTGCACAGTGGAGGAACAAATGAGGAAGGGGCGGGCAGACACAGCTATCACTCACGCAGCTGGGTGGATCTCGACAGTATTGTCGGAAAATGTCCCGGCGGCGGCGCTCCCAGTATATCGCGGGCAATAGCCTGCTATATACTGAGCTTTGGGTCACGGGAGGAGGTTGGTATATGTCCTCCCGTGACCCTAAAAGAGAACAATGGGGAAAAACACTCATAGTTCTCCTTTAATAAAAGCACTGCTCTATTTTAAGTATAGGCTGACAAATGCACAAAAATGTTAACAAAAACACTGTAATTTTATCTCACAGTATTAAACAGAGGCACACTGCAATCTTCAGGCTGCAGGGGCATCTGCTAGCTGAAGACCTATTTTCTGAATGAAGCCTCCAGCTTGTATGTGATCACTATGTCAAAGAGAACATACTGATAACACTGGGACCAGTTTGATTGGTTTCCAATTGTTAGAGGAGAGCTACAGCCCAGTCTGACAGATAGCAGCTGTGTACAGTGTCAGAGAGAGAATGTAGATTAAACTATGGGTATCATGCAGGAGGACATTAGCCTACAGATTGAGGACAGAAAGGGGTTATTCCATTTAGCAGAGTACTTTTTTTTTGTGGCCCCATGTGTACATCAAGGCTTGTAAAAGGCTATTTGAAGGCCTACCATAATACATTCACTATGGAAACCCTTGCTAACAAATACATTTTCTCAACTTTAAAGCTTCAAGTACAATCCAGACCTTCATACTCACTTTGACTATCAACCCAACGTCAGTGGTAAGAGCTTGCACTCTATGGAAGGTGGCTATTAACTCTATAGGCAGGAAACCATCAGAATCCATTCTTTTACGCAGGTAAAAGTCTCTCTCCAGGTTGTCCACACTGAAGTAATATTCTCTGCAAGATATGCAAAAACATTTCAAAACATCACAAACAAAAAGATATTTCAAAGAACCAAGAGTTACATGTAAAGCACGGGGGGAATCGAGGAGAGTAAAACATTCTCCCCACTGCTGGGAGCCGGAGTTGGACACTGCAGCTGTCACACACCGACTCCATCATCGAGAGCTGACCGATCATGTAACTGCGCCGAGCAGTGATTCCCCCTCTTTTTTCCTCCAGCACTCACTGGCGCTACAGACCAGGGAGGGTGTGGACATGGCTGGCTCTGGCTCACAGATGCATGCAGAGAGGCAGAGCCAGATGTCAGTTAGGTAGCCAGGGTGGATCCCAAGAATATCGTCAGCTCTCCGATGCCAGCTATATGCTGATGTTGGCTTTCCTTCTCTTCCAAGCTTATCCAGAGTCATCAGGTCTGGTTTCCACCAAGTAACAACTCTGGGTAAACGTATGCATACATTGCTAATAATGGGGTCACCATAACAGAATTTGGTCTGTTCACATTGTAAAAGACTAGAAGCACAATTTTATCCGTGACTTGCTTGTTAACTACATTTAGGTGCCCTACTGGTACAAATGAGAACACTGATTAGTAGTATTGAATAAACTTACAGCACAGCATTCAATGTTGAGTATGCATTATAATGCATATGGTTCAAAATGAGAAAGTCTGAATGTCATGTACAGTAGATGGAGTGGGATGGATCATATATACATAACGTACATTCAGAACAGTTATGCTATCTCAAACAGAGCTTTCTGTTTGCAGCACACAACACACCAATACGTGAAGGGGTGTGGTTGGGGCTACATCTCACCTCCTGGGGGGTTTTTTTTGCAAGTATTGTAGGTTACCTGATGAGTGCTAGCACTAAACAGAGTGCACAAAACCCTTGGTAGAAAATGAACTATTATTTTGCTAGCTCCTCTACAGTCTTATACTGCATTTTGCTAAGCTGCACTGTAAAAGACAAAGGAGGAAAAACCATGAATGACAATGCAGCTTCCACTCTTTACTCCAGCATGACTGTGCAATAATAGATAACTGATTACCAGCTTAACAATTGATAGGAGGTGAGATTAGTGAAAACGGTGCGAGGACACTGGTGAGGGAAAAGCAAGCCTTTAGGAGCCGAGCCAATCTAATCTATTAGGCAACAAGCATTTGAAAATATACCATTATTGTAAAATAAAGTAAAAAAGGCACCATAAACTGAATGAATAAACCTATTAGTCCGCCATCAGTCCCATAGAGAGCCCCTGAGTGTACATAAAAATTTGGATTTCTGGAAGAATGATATTAAACAAGCCCCACTACCTTATAGTAAGCCTGCAAGTAGATCACTCAAGCACCATGAATTTCATTGTGGGAGGTGGGCCAGGTTATGCCTAGCTCTCACAGCTAAATATAATTTAGAAAGGCTGTAAAACACTGAGGGGTGAAAGGACGGCTGGGGTTGGAGACACATTTTAAAGTTCCTGTGTAAATGTACTTTCAACAACAGAAAATATTGTAGGTGGCAGTAGTAAATAGGCTCACTTGCTTCCTGGCATTCATCCCTATGTTAGCCTTTAGTAACCTGAAGTGAAATTATATAGTGGCTTTGTAGATATTTTATGCTCATAGCTTTTATTCATATAAAACAATACATATTTTGCATTCTCCTCCTGAAGCAGCAGGGTGTAGCTTTAGTTTTGTTTTGACATTTTGCAGGCTCTCCATTTGTTTCCTTGATGAAAGCAGTCAGTTCACAGAACTCAACAGCTCAAGCTAAGACACACACACACACGTTTTAAAGTAGTGCTAAACTATAATGTGACTTACATCTGCCTCTTGATGTAATCCATCAGTAGCTCCTGATCCACACTGTACAGATCTGAGCTGCTCATGTTGTCATAGTAGTAAGTAATATTAGTGGGATATTTCGCACTTCGAGGACCATCTGTACCATCGAACTTCCTGTACCCATACTGGTAATCAAAGTGAGCTATAAGTGTAAAAGGAAACAAAATCATGGAGAACAGTTCTCTAGAAGGAAAAAGTGCATATATTTAATAAAAATATTTTACAGGATAGATTGTTACAATCTGTAAACAATTAATTTTGAACTTACAGCGCATGCCCCCTCGGCCGCGTCCTCTCCCTCTGCCCCGTCCTCGACCACGTCCTCTGAAACCACCACGGACAGCACCTTCGCTTTTCACGCTAGAGGTGTCATCATAATCCGGCCACTCCCTCTCTTGTTTGCTATCCGAATACCAAGCTAAGTGAAGATCGAAAGAAGGATTTTTGCACTCACCGTAAACTTTTCTTGGGAGTCAATTGAGGGAGAAAGGAATCATATTCAATCAGGTTATAGTGCAGACTATTTTGCTCCACCCACAGAAAGCCCAGGGAGACACACGGTCCTCCATCATCCTTAACCTATAATGCATGGTCTGAGATGCACCTGGGTGCAAGAACTTCTCCAAGTCCAGAAACTACCACTTGGGAAGAATCAATTTCCAGCGGATCCGCATGTTTGAGATTGAGATAGCCTGTACGGTCAACAACCGGAACCAGGCTACCTCTCCAGAAGTGGGATGGACTTTTGTTCCTCTAGGTGGTGAAAAGAGCAGTAACTAGATGGTGTTCAAGCCAGGAGACCTACCCAGAGCGGAATTCCATGATGCAGCAGGAGCCATCCCAAGAGATAATGATACAATGAAAGGAACCCTCTGGCTATAGGGAGATCAGTTCTTAGCAGCTGCCAGATGAGAAAGTTGAGTAATTCTTCCAGGAACTACCTGGTCTTCAGAGAGAAACACCTGGGTCAATGCTGGGTTAACATCTTCATTTCACATAATTACCGGTCCGGTATAGTTGTGTATCATTGCCAGCATATGGCACTGAATGAAACTAAGGATTCATAGGCAAATGGCAACCAAAGATGGACTTAGAGGACCTTGTAGGGGTATCTGGTGCCACTAATGACACTGCACGCTCCAAGGTAAGCAAAATCACTGAGGAAGATGATTGTAGAGAATAGGGCACAGCTCCAGAGATCAAGCAAACACGAACTAGAGCAAGGGACTATGGATTGAGGAGACCCCCTGGAGCTAGAAGAAAGTCTGTTAATCTGTGGGGTGGCATTAGTCTGTGTGCCAAAAGGGGGTGCTCCGTCACCCTCAATATCTGAAGGGCAAACTACCCAAGGACCAACAAGTATTAGCCACCATCCTCCCATTTGGAAAAGTGGGAATGCACCTGTATGCTGAAGGATTCTCTGAGGGATGTCCGAGAATAAGGCTTAGCATACATGATTGTACTCAATGCAGAGGCAGATTGAGAAGGCTGGGATTCAGCCGGCCTTTCCTTGCACTTCTGATACGGAGGCAGGTAAATGGTGTCGAGGGTAGGACCAAAGAGACAGTGTCCCTCGAACACCAAGGGAATTAGGCGCTCCTTGGAAAAAAGCATCTGCGTCCCAGCACCAGAGTGCTTTGTTTATCTGTATGGCCATCAGACGCATATGGGGCAAAGGTTTACATACGCCAAACAAGCCATCATAACTGAAGCTGCTGGTGGGAATTCTTCAAGGTAAGCACACCCTCTACTGGTCTAGTGGATTCCCTGTTAAGGTTGGGGAACAGGTAAATCCACAGTGGGTAGTGTCGTTCCAGGTCAGGCCACACTTGCCCAGAACAGTCAGGTGGATATCGACACAATGACATATTCACAAATAAAATGTCTTTATTGATTAATAAAGCCAATTACAAAAGAGAGGGATAGAAACTTCTAACATGTTTCACACACACACAGGTGCATAGTCATAGAATGATTCAATGACTAAGTGCCCGTGTGCACAAAACATTTTCATCTCCAGTGTAATTGATTTTATGGATCAATAAAGAAGCTGCTTTTGGAATTCTGCCGTGTGCCTCTATTCATCTTTCCTCCAACATTCTCTCAGGTGGGCCCAAGGCCCTTTAGGGTGCTTACAGGCGGCATGAAGAAATGTCTCAAATAGCAGATGTAGTAAAAGGTCTTTGCAGCTGAAGGGGCTCTGAAAGACCCAAGGCTGGAGACAGCAGGCTGATCCTCAGAATGCAAGGTGCTATGTACTGCATCAATAAGAATCTAATCTACCTCGTAAAAATCGGAGGTGATGACAGGAGACTGTGCTGCCTCTCATCAGACACAGAACGTAGGGACTCTGAGTCGGAATTGGTCACGGTGACTCAGTCTGTTCGAAGGCCTCGGGAAGTTCAGAAATTACATATGCAAGAGAAGGAGTGTGAGCACATTTAGATACTGTGTTGTTGGGATCTTCCAGGAATTGGGTGAGTTTGGCCACAAAGTTGCATGTGCCAGCAGTAGAAGCCCGACAGGGAAGGGTACTCTGCTTCACCCGACAGAATAAAGAGACTCCAATGAAGTAGATCCTATAAAATCAGGGGGTACAGAGTAAACACACCCCAGAATTGTCAGTGTTACTCCGAAAGAGCAGGACTTCCCCTGTTGTGACTGCGTGGTGGTGATGCAACTAGGCACAAGGTACGATGGCTGGTTGGAATGGACCGGAGATTGGAGTCTCTTATGACACTTTTGCAAAGCAAAAGTAGCAGCAGGATGTTTCCTCTACACTGAATGGTAGGAAAGAGTGCAGAGCGACAGACACTCCACCCAGAAGATGGCATGATCATGCGTCCAGTTCAACAGGGTCCAGGTATGGCACTCAATAGGCTGAGGAAAAGCCAATCCAGATAGTTGCCATGTACGTACCAGCTCAAGCAGTGGTGTAGCATGGAATCTCGATTAAGATCAACTTGATAGAAGTCAAAGACAAAGGCTAGCAAAACTAAAGTTACTTAGAGTTGAAGAAAAGATGCCCATCCTACTGGGACACTAGCAAAAACATGAGGCACACTGGCTACAGGAGGGGTTAATCCTGGACTGGCCTACATAATTTGTTTTGTTTGCCATTGTACAAATCTTTCTCTAGGTAGCAGTATAACTAGACAGTTTGCAATTCCTGTGTCCCTTAATAGACAGACATTAAAAAAAAAGTAGTAGTAATACATGACATAACCTGCTATAAAGGCAAAGAACATGGCACCTCCATAGTATCACCAACCCCAGTCATCTGAGAGTTGTACTGTGATAGCAGTTTACATGATGTACATTTATATTAGAAGAGAACAAGCACATCTAAAAGAGATTACTTTATTTATACAGCACAAGATAACACTGTTCTTTTTCTCCTTCCCTACCCTGAGCAGTTTCCTTTAACCCCTTCGTGACTGACGACGTACAGTGTACGTCGCCAGCATCGGGGCTGTTTAAACAGACTCCCGAACAGTTTGAAAGATCTGCACTAATTTTTTGTAGCCTCATAGACAAGAAGTGAAGGAACATTTCCCCAATGGCACAGAGACAGCAGACAAAAAACTGGCAGGGATTTCATTCCGTCCCTAGGCTTTCCGTCCGGAATAAGAAGAAAAAAAAAAAGGATGTTATTTTAAGGCAATGATTAGGGCCGCTGTCATTAAAGCTGAACACTAGACACATGTCTAAAAACAAGAAGCATGTGTATTCTTACTTACTAGAGAACTATGGCCTAACATTTTTTTGGTCATAGTTCTCTTTAGGGTCACAGTAAATGTCCTCCTGTGACCCAAAAGTCAGCACTGGAGGAATGAAGAGGGAAACGGCGTGGAGAGCAGTGACTGCAAGTCAAAGCTCTATGGATGGAGATGATCATGAACTGAGCGACCAGCGGTATGTATTGCTCAGTTCTCGATCAATAGAACCGACATGTGACAGCAGCAGTGTCACACGTCGGCTCCAATTATGGGGATGCGTGTATTTCACTCACCCCATAATTCTCTTTAAATGTTGTGTGCTTTGTGTATTTCATTCAAACCTATGCAGTAAGCCAGTGTGAAACTCCTAACGCAAGAACAGTCACTTCCGCTCTCTGTTGTTGCAGGGTGCCTGGTCTTGTATACTACAGTAGTTTTCTGCAGGTAGCCTGTAGTGAGCGGACCTTCTGGATCCCTCCCACAGTTCTGTTCTCTGCATAAGCTATGTACAACATTGATGATGTCATTACTACTTTTACAGGGTGATAATGGTTTGCAAAGGCATTTGATGTAAAATGGATTTATATTCTTTGTGGCCATTGAGGAATGTATTTAAATTAATGTTTTTGTGCCAGGAGTTCAGCTTTAAGTCCCCCAGATATGGTGACAAACATAACATTTAAAAGGTCATCACAAATCTGCACTTAAGTTTTATTCGTGCCTGCTGACTCACATTTGGGATCTAGTTGTCATGCTCGGGAGTAAAGAGAAAGAAGTACTTCCAGGTATAGGAAAAAAGAAAAAAAATATCACAAAAAATGAATAAAAATGTAAAAGGATTGTGGTGGTCATCTGCAGTCATAGTAAAGTCAAACATGGGTCATACACCAAGAAAAGTTATGGCAGTTTTGGAGTCAAAGCAACCTGCCACCAATAGTTTTCAGCAAAATGGTCAACATGGTAAGGTGCCTTGATCCATTTGACTTTTATTTGCAATTAAAAGCTGCTTTACAGTGCCAAAATAGTGCATCATGCCACGTTACAGTAATTGGAGATGTAAGCCAAACGATACCTTTGGGGTCGCTCCGATTCAAAGAGTGACGCTGCTGTTCATTCTGGCGATTGTTCCTCGAGGTGGTTTTGTCTCGCTGCCCCTCAGGTTTCATTTCAATTTGCAGGGGAACCCACTTGTGTTTATTTCCTGTGATGAGGAAGAAATAAGCTGTTGGAGTAAAATGAATAAAACTAAAAAGGAAAATGAGAAATGTTGCCGTGCAAGTGTACTTCTGCCTGCTTTTGGATTTGTCTGCTCAGTGTTTGCCCCTGCAGACAAACACATCATGCCAGCCAACTAAGACGTAACCCTGAGGAACACTGGAAAGTAAAATAAGTACACCTCCTTGCTTTCACTAGTTATCTGTTATCTGGGTATGTTTAAATGGAGATGTATTTTTGTACAATATGATTGGGACATTACATAGGTTGAACTCTATGGGCCTGTGTCTTTATTCAACCTTAACCTCTACGTAATTATGTGGGCTTGAAGAATGCATATGGTATGCCAAAGATGCTTTCACAAATGTAACTGCATATACAGACAACCTTGGGTCTGCATACAGCTTTCCCAGGCAACATCCATGAATTATGAACTGGCAGAATCAGGGAGAATACTAACACGCTCTCTGGTGATAGCAGAAGGTAAAAGGTACCAGTATGGCTATATTGTAAGGGCTAATGTGCGCAAAACGTGCCAAGTGTCTATTCCTCCCTGATGTGTTTTACATTTGAATCAATGGAAATGCACCAAAACACGTGTCATTGCACAACGAGGTGCATTGCAATGCGCATGTAAATGTGCACAGCTTGCACTGATGTGGTTCACTATGCATATAGAAGCGCATTTAGAGGTGCATTACAGCAAACACCAACATGCATTTTGATACATTTCCATCGGCTTCAATAAAAAAATCCATCAGGCAAAAATACACAGGTGTGGATCCAGCCTTAGGATCACTGGACCATGCAAGCTCACATTAAGGTATAATAATGGCTCCTGTATGTCAGTCTACATACCAAATCCAGTTACTATGTGATGCACATACCTCAAAGTAAACAAAGAACGTAATTAGGGATGCACCGAAACCCGGTTTTTGGTATCGATTACGAGTACCGATACCGGCATCCCGAGTTATTGTGGGCCAAGCTTCCAAGCCAATCAGGAAGCCAGGCGGTGGGTCATGACTTGCTGCCCGGCTTCCTGATTGGTCAGAAAGCAAGGCTGCCTTGCAGTGTCGCTAGGCAGCGTGAAGCCAGCTTCCTAGTCAATCAAGTAGCCGGGAGGCGGGTCATGTTCCCTCACGGCACTGCTGGTCAAACGGAACCCTCCTCTGACCGGCAGTTCCGGTATCAGAGTAAGTATCTGAGTATTTTATCTTCCCTGACTGAGCCAAATCCACCTTCACTTGTGTCTCACATGCACCCCGTTCCAGACACTGCAGCTCACAGTGGGAGGGTTTTATTAACAGAGGCAGTGATGTCAAACCAGACATGACTAGGAGTGGCCAGGTGCCGATTGACAGGTTAAAGGTTTGTTAAATCAGCAGTAACAATGAAGATCGCACCGCCTCATTAAACATTTCTTCCTCATCCCACTGTAGTACAAGCAGGCATAGTCTACATGAGGGGCAACTCGGCTCTGAACTCAGTGCAGCATTGCTCCCACCCCAGGACAGTAAGCTGCATTAGGTGGACTGCACTAGCAGGATCAACAGGTATTTGGAGGACTGTGCAGGGGAATAAAGACAAAACTTAGTGCAAAGGCACTTCTAATTAAGGAGTTAAATAATAAGTGTTGTTTCCTAATCTGAGGTTTTAGTTCTACTTTAAAAAATGTATACCTTCAGTTTAGACTTTTGTTACGGACTGGAGCCTGCTGATTTAGACTTTTGCTACGAACTGGAGCCTGCTGATTAAGGTTTGATTATCATGAAATACAAAAAAAATAAAAAATACTTATCGTACAAAATGTCTTTGCTGCATCTGCAGAAAGGTCAAATACATTAAGCTTATATGCTAACATGCAGGCTCATACACATATTAGTGGTTTCCAATCAAACGCACAGATCTCTGTTGTGTAGCAACGCCTTTTTGTTAGATTTCCCCCTACCTATTTACATCGGTGAATGTGATCACCAAGACAAAGCGAGAGGAACCCCAAAGTTGCCATGGGGGGAAATGGGGTTGTCAGTCCTGGTGCGTGCTGTCCCACATAACTAACCAGATTGGTGCAGATTTCTCATCCTGCACCAAAAACGCGCATCTTTCTTTATCCCAATTTTGCTACTCACTTCCCTTGCTCTCTTGTGACAGCAATGACATGGTGAGAAGAGAGTACTCAGCCCTGTGTAAGCTATTAGAAAAAGGCGTGCGCAATTGAAGACTTCCAAACTATTTGTTCTGTTTGTAAAATGTTGAAACTAGTCTTGGTGACAATAGCTACCAGGACAAAGAGGGTACAGCTAGCCAGGACACAACGGCAATAAAAAAAAAAGAAAACCTTCAAATTCGGCTACACATACACTTTAATCCAGGGGTTAAGTTGGTAGATCGTGATCAGCTCACTGACCTAAGCTCCCTCCCGCGGTGCTAAGGCGGCTGAATGTGTCAGACGCTGCAGGCGCAAAGGGGTGGGACACCTCTCCCTGTCTGCAGCGTCGGCCACACCAGCACTGTGGGAGGACAGGTCAGCGCACCTGAGAGGAGACCCGAGAAGCTGCTGCAGTGCAGAGAAAGGAGAGGAGAGGGAGCGCGCGCGAGGAGAGGGATGGTTGGTAGATCTCATTGAGCTTGTCATTTGAAAAGTAGATCTGCAGAAGAAAAATTGTGGGCGCCCCTGCTTTAACCCAACCTCCTTGCAGGTGGTTTTGGCTTACTAGTCCTCATCAGTGCAAGGCATGGGACAGTAGGGTGCTAAAACACTACAGTTAGTTGTAACCACAACCTGACAGAATAGCAAAAGTGTTCGTTAGAAAATAAGGTTTTTGTCATGTAAAAAAAAAAGGCAAAAAACAACAACACCCACACAAGTTGACTTTGCTACGCAAATATTGCTTGCAACACGATCCAGAGTTCACCAGGCCACAGTTTTAGACAAACCTAAACATTAAAATACATTTCTTCCCAAAAGCAGGTCAGTCAGTAGTTGTGTGAAAAACATAGGTAACCTTAAAGTGAAACTGTGCTAAGCCCCATGCAGGGCAATGCAAAAGCGTTACTTAAAAGGCAAAAAATACTGTATTCTGGTAACTGTACATGGCCCATACGTGTAATGATGCCGTAACTGCCTAGAAAGTATTACATTGAGTTAGGCTTTCATCTAAAAATACCCAAGTCCATGTAAGATTACCCGGTCCATGGTTCTGCAAAATGAACAGTTGTCACCATCTGAGGGTCCATTTACACCAAAACACACATGCAATTTAACATGCATTGCTTTTTTCTTTACTTGAATGATAGTTATTTTTTACATGCTGCAACATGGGTTGTGATACATAGCCGCATGTGGGTTTTTTTTTTTACACATACCAGCACGCTGTATTCATATGAACTGAAGCTATAGGACAAAGAAAATTGCCTTGTTCTTGAGTTGGGACTGCACAGGGCAAGTGTCAGTGGGCTCTTAAACCTGCCAGACTCCTTTTATTTTGTTTTTCACTCTCATATGCAAAAAATACATAAACAGTATGACATACATTTTTACATTTTGTTTCATTTCTATAGTTTCTAAAAAAAAAAAAAAACGGGTAGTTGCAATTTTTGTGTGTCAATATTTTTATGAGATTAGCTCAACTGTTTGCCAAACCCATATTTTCTGAAAAAAATTTGGCCTAATTTTAGTGCGCAGACAAACACAATGAAATCTCCACATTTTCTGTAAAACGTAAAAGATAAGACAGTGTCCAAAAAAAAAATCAAGACTCAAAACGGAGTATGCCTGTGACACAGTGACAACCTATTATACCCAAAATTGTCTGAGTATGTACTGTTCCCATGCCTATGTGCAATTTTTTTTATTATATTTTTTATTTTGCTTTAGTTTTTTTTTTTTTTCCTCTGAACTTACTGTTATTAGAAAGGGACTGAACCTGGAAGTGCTCAGAGCAGAGTACTTCTGGGTTTATACTTCACAGGAGAAACTGACATTCCTCCCATCACTCCCCAACCTGATATGTTTGGTTGTTTTTGGTCCCAGGCTCCCAGGAGCAGCAGGTAAGTCTGGGGACCAAAGAGGAATAGGAGGGTCGGTTTGGGGTAAAAGGGAAACAAACTCAAAGCTGTGATTGTAGTCTTTAGGTGTGTGGAGCTTACACAAAAGCATGGTTGCTGCTGGAGGAAGGTGGAAGGTAAATGAACCTTTTGCTTTCCTTTGCATGGGTTCAACTCAAGCTCATATTTGTATGTTCAATATCTATAGCAGGTGCTTAGCCTCCTAAGACTTGAAGATTGACAAGAGATTTCACAAAGATTAATCTCACAGGCTTATGCTTAAAATACCAAAAATAATCACGACAACAATCTCCTCAGTCTGATTAATCAGCCTGATCTATTTAAAGAGAACTAGTCAAGTTTTCACTAGTATGTAGAGTACACATGTACGGTTTTGGATTCTCGAGCGGGAGCTCGCAGCGAAAAAACAAGGTAAGTGTAAACCGCTGTTAAAGCAGGTTTTTAAAAAATAAAAACTTTTTGCATATATCTACTGCATGATAGCAGTAGATATAGGCAGATATAGGCAAAACAGAGGGTTTAGAACACCTTTAAGTCAGTATGAAATAAAAGTGATGCGAATCTATCTTGCATCGATAATTTATTTTCCTGTACCCGCCGATAACTGAAGTCCCAGGTGACTCGCCCCCCAGCTTTCTCATTGGCCAGAAAGACAACTCCATGATTCCTCGTCACTTGGTGATGAGGCAGCATGGAGACTGCTTCCCCGCTAATCAAGATGCTGGACGGCGAGTCACTGCACGCCACCCAGCGTACTTATTGGGACTTAAGGTATCGGCGGGTACCGGAAATAAATTATCGATAGCGAAAAAACAGTATCGGTGCATCCCTAATGGTACACGTCCGCCACTTTGTTAGGCTTCATCCTGATTGGTTGACCCACCAGTCGGGGTCCCAGTAATGCAGGTACAACAAAACTTTGCGGGTTTCCAGAATGTTGATTGGAAAACAAGATTCCTCCAATGTCCAAGTCCCTCACACCAGGACTCCTAGTCCGAAAGGCAGGTATCTGTTGTGAGGATCTTCCATGAGACCGAAATGAAGGAACTTCCCACATTCATAGCAGGATTCCTGAGCCACCAGGCCAGGGACAACCTGGTCTTCATTGTCAGGCGAAATCAGTCTGTCCAAGGGCTTGACCAACTTGTCCCACAATGACAGGATGTTGTGTTGTAGGAGTCTGGAGTGAAACTGGGAAATGGGACTGCCTCTAAAGAGGCTACCATCAGTGCCAGAACTCTCTTGCAAAAAGTGAAGAGTTGAGCAGCACTTGGACTGAAAAGTCTGAGTCTGAGATTGAAGAGTTTGAAGTTTCTCTCTGTGTCTAGAATAAGACCCAGATACACCAAACTATGATGCTGGTTCCAGCTCTGGCTTCTTAAAAGGTTCAGGATCCAACCAAATATTTGCAAGGTCAGGATGATTCAAGCCATGTTATCCACCAGAATTTGTGCCAACTGTTCCCTCAACAGGCTGCCTTTCACATACCCCACAATGGAAATGCCCTGGAAGCACAGCAAGGACAATACAGGAGTCACCACCCTTAGCAAACACTCAAAGTGCAGATGAGGCCAAATGGCAGGGCCAGAAACTAAGTGCTGGGGAACCAAAGCAGAGCGAAGAAAATCGCAGATGTGCCGGAAAAATGGGGACAAGCATGATGTCCACAGAGGCCAGAACGTCTCTATAATGGAGAGAATACATGATGATCTGGTGGATTCCACATGGAAGTTCTGGGCTTTAATGAAGAACACCGGGCAAATTAAATCATAACTCTTGCAGTGGGGCTACATTGTAGGGAGCTAAAACAATAGTTATACTGACCCGAACCATACTCCTGGCTGGCTGCTATGCCGGTCCCTTTAGCCTTTAGGGTTAAGATTTTATTTTTCCCAGAGTTTTTCTTTAATGAAGACATTTAGGGGCTTAATATCAAAAGTGGAGCAGATGTCAGCTTTTGGAACTGTGAATGCTTTGGAAAAGAATCCCTGGAATCGTTCCACCACAGGTACTGGGTACTACACAAGTCCCGTGAGAGCTGCATGGAGGTCTGCCGATCTGTGCGGTGACACAGGCAGGTTGAAAGACATGAATTGAAAAAAGCCGAGAGTAGGACTTTAGGACTTTAGCTTGTAGCCCCTGGACACCATCTCTAGAACTCAAGCATCCAAGATGCTTGCTGTCCAAATACCTGCAAAGGCTATCAGACATCTCCCCACTTTGGAAAGATTATTTATAAAAAAAAACGTTGAAGCCTGGAAGTAATGAATAGAACTTTATTTTTGCCACCCAGAGAGGGATGAGCTTTCCGAGCCCAACACTCTTTCTGCTGGAGCAGATAAGTATTCTTGTCCCTGGTGACATTGTTGATAAGGGTTGTCCAGAGCAGCTCGAAAGGGATGCAGTACCTCAAAGTACATGCAAAGCAGCTGTTTTTTGCATGCCGGTTCTGCAGGCCAGCACTTTTGCCAAAGAGTCCTTTGCATGTTTACTGACAGGTGTCTTATACGGAATAAGATGGGAGACGATTGGACTACACAGTAGCTCAGGACTGTGGACATGAGCTGCATGTGCTCAATAAAGGATTGTCTTGAAAAGACACTGGATCCCTTCACTGGTTCTAGCCCAGTCAGACTGACACCAACCTGGGATGGGTGAAGAGCTGGTCAGGATTCTTCCAGTCTCCAAAAATAAAGTCTTGAAAAACTGGATGCACCAGTAAGGTCTTGCCAGTCTTAGGGCCCATAAAGGAGACCGAACTGGTAGAAGCCGCAGACTGATCAAGTATTGAAGTGGGGTGAACCCTGTCAAAAAGAGCTGAGATGGTTTCTCATCCTTGGAATAATGGCAGTGGCTTGCGACTGCCTCAGTGTTACATTGTCCGTTATGGACTGAGGGCTTGTTCACACCGAAAGTGTGTGCGTTCCAGATCGGTAGCTGCTAGCACTATTTTTTGCGTTTGCGTGGAAGCGGTGCCATTGAATTCAATGCACTGCCACGCCCCCTCCCGCCCCTGAACGCGGGGAGAAGTTTCATAACGTTTCTAGAAGTTTCATAACGAACGCGGTTCACTCCAGCAGCTACCGCTCTGGAACGCACATGCGGGAATTCTCCCTAGTGGGACACAGGTGACAAAAAAAAAAGTTGACAAGGGTACTCACCGATACTTTTTTTTGTGAGAGGTGACAGTATTCCTAAAACAATACAGACAAATGGTTTAAGGACAGTGGTGGAGCCCCAGGGCCGAGTCACAGCTGTAAACGCTACCACTCTGATAGTTTTGCCACTGCCTCCCAGCAATACATTATACAATGCAGAATAATATGAAGCTACATACTCTGTGTTGCTCACCGGGGCTGCGTGCAACCTGTCACCAGCAAACTTAGCTGGTGACAGCTTAGCACTAACTGGCACTGGCAGCAGAAGTGAATGTGGCTGCAGAGGGCTGAGTGTGTCGTGCATAGTAGAAGCTGGGGACAGAGCACCAGCGGCCATTGTAACTGTGGGCACACCTGGCAGCGATAGAGAAGGGTGCCTAACCTCCGATGGAGCAAATATAAATTTGGTGTGGAAACCTACATGTCTGAATAACAAGGTGGTTTGTTCAAAATAATCTTATTGCAATGGTGGGCTGGTGTCCTAATTGTTGCAAGCAGGGATTTCAAATGATGCCCAGTGGTCCTGGTAATAAGGTAGCGCCTGCTGCTTGGCCCACACTGCCTAACGAGAGTCTTCAGAGACAGTGTCACTCCTGGGGCTGTGCCACAGGCTCTGGACACTCAGATAAATAAGACTGTACACTCAAGTCTGGGAAGTGCCTCAATGCAGAGCCTAGTGCCTTGAAGATCACAGTCCAGGCTAGCCCAGCAAACATCCAGTAGAGCGCAGGTGCGACCTCCGAAGCTAGTGCTACGTAAACGCAGATCCAGAAAAGGTTATTGACTTGTCTCCGCAGAGCAGAGAAAGAAAAAAAATGACCATCCTCATGGAGACTAGCAAGAAGAAAAAGGAAAAAACAAAAACTAAGCCATTCTGGCAGTTTTTGTTTGCCAGTGTCTAATTCCTTCTGTAGGCTGCAGTATATCCCAGGTTCTCAATTCCAGTGTACCTCAATGAATGCTAAATCATTCACTTTTTCTTCAGCAGCTTGGCTCCTTCTGCTCGTCCTTCCCAGTGACATGGAAGCCAACCGGCCTCCTTTTCTGTAATGTAAACTAACAGCGGGTGCACAAGAAGAGGGAGGAGGGCAGAGTGCCGAGACCCAACAACTTACTGCTTCTCTGGTAAACATTGAGGATTAATAACTCCAGTGTCTACAACTAGAGAGGTCGGTGAGAACTTTTTTTTAAAGCCCAAATAATGCTTCATAAGAATATGATATTTAAAAATTCTTAGCCTGGTGACAATTCTAGTTTGAGCACATAACTGCACAGTACTGTAATTGTGTGTAGTTGGCACCGTAGGAGCAAATTATTCTGTAAATAACTACTACAACTGTTGCTCTTCTGTGATCCATGTCAGTCAACTTTAAAAGTCAGACAGAGCTAGGAAAAAAAAAAAAAAAAAAAAAAAAAAAAAAAAAAAAAAAAAAAATCACCCAAGTAGTTAAGATCTAACAATAAAATTTACTGTATAAAAGCCCTTTCTAGTATAAAATAAAAAAGGTTAATATGAAAAAGCACTTTCTATACACCAGAGATGGGTGAAAAGAGACCAACAGCAGGCTGCACAGAGTGAATGGAGTTCAGGCAGAGCTAAATGTAGGCTCAGTGACCCTTCCATGGAATGCTCTGGCCAATGTAAATGGGACACACTGAACAGAAGGCAATCAAAGGCCCAGTGCACGTTAAACCCTTAAAAAGCAGCGGAACTAACAAAAACATTACCTTTCTTTTTATGAGTCGATCTCTGTCCATCGTCGTCCCCATTCTTCTCCTCACTAGACTCATCTGACTTCACTCTTTGGTTCTCCTTCCCATCTGCACTTTCTTCCTTCATTTCCTTCTTCCCAAAAGACTTTCTGGATGGTTGTAGTTTTTGAGGCGGCTGTGAGGAAGTTAAAACGTAGAAAACAAAAATGAGCAGACTTGAAACTTCTGAGTGGAACTTTTTATTTTTTAAACATGGGGGCTAGAATGTCTGTTAACAACAATAATAATAATAAAAAAAAAAGAAACACCTGTCTGCGGTCCCATTAGGACATTTCCTGGGACAGATACTCTGACCCTTCCCCAAGCATTAAAAATAAAAAATCATAGGATGGATAGATAGATGATTAGTTCACCTTATAAATATGTACATGTGCTCCCTTCTCCAATTTATAACAGATCAGGGATGACTTGAAATTATGTTTTTTTTAATCATCATTCTAGGATACACTGAATTACTTTAATGGCATCATATTAATTTTGTGACCTCATTAGGGTTGGTGTAATTTTTATTTTTGGTGGGTGCTTTTTAGCTGGAGATCATTTAATAACTCATGGATCAAATTTTTGTCTAAGATTAAGAATGGCAGCCCACAGTAGGGCACTACCTTACACATGGCATTGGATACGATAACACATCGGTACTAATAGCCTTTACAGATGGATGGGCTACCTTCATTTAAAAAATATTACAGATATTTTATACAGCGTTGACAATTTACGCAGCACTTTACATAGTGCTCTTTCACATTAATCCCTGTCCTCAAGGAGCTTACAATCCTAGGTCCCTACCTCACATACATGGCCGATTTAGAAAGAAGCCAATTAACCAACCAGCATGTCTTTGGATTGTGGGAGGAAACCAGGAGGAAACATGCAAACTGCTTGCTGATAGTGTACTTGCTGGGATTTGAACTGGGGACCTCCAGTGCTACAAGGCAGAAGTGATAACCACTACACCACTGTGCTGCCCAATATTGATGCGACATACTGAGTTAACATGCATGCATGAATGTACCAGACTGGAAAGGTCTGAATAGGGTCTAAGCACTTATGCTTGTAGTCATGTCACATCACCTTTTACCTTGTGTTGATGCCAATATAGTTTTAAAACAAAAACTAAATACTTGGGACGGAGTTCTACTTGAAAGTGTAATTTTTACTCTGATGCAGTTACGCTTAGAGCACCCCCGCCAGTCTTAACCTGACCATACACCTATAGATTATCTGCAGATTTTCTATTGTCAGATGGAAAAAGTGCAACAGATTCCTCCATCTACACTAAACTGTGTGTATGGAGGAATCTCCCACTGGGCCAAGCTTCCATATCTTGATAGTCGGCCCCGCTGGCTGTCAAAATACCTAAACAATGCCTGCATCCAATCAGATTGTTCAGGTATTTTGACAGCCAGCGGGGCCGACTAGCAAGATACTGAATCTTGGCCCAGCGGGAGATTCCTCCATCCACACAGTTTAGTGTAGATGGAGGAATCTGTTGCATTTTTTACCATCTGACCAATAGTCTATAGGTGTATGGCCAGCTTTACTCGCGTGCACCAGACCTAGCGAGATATCACTGACTAGATCAAACCATTCCCAGCAGGGCTGTCAGAAGCATTCTGCAATTCCAATATTTCCTATGGACTTTCCGAGTAGGAGCCTATACTCAGAAGTCCATAGGAACAGGGACATTTTTTGACAAGGCAATCTAGTCAATTATATCTCACTAGAGTATTAGAATGCGAAAGAGCTAGGTGGTGCTGACATAAGTAGATCTGCACCAAGTAAAACATTTCAGAGTATGTATATAGTGAAACAAAGAATAAAGTCTAAGTTAAAAAATAGGAAGCAATCAGATGTGCCAGCAGGTACTTCTCTTGTAATTAAATGGCTAGACAGAGGCTTCTTGGATGCAGGTGGGCGTTTTTGAACGTCCTATCCTGCCCGGCACTAGGCGACGCGCACAAGCGGGAAATCAGCTTGGAATGTAAACAGCCAGCGAATGCTGTTTAAAATACAAGTGTTCAGGCGTCTGTAGAGACACCCGATCGCTTGCAATATGCGTGCAGGTCGCGCCCCCGCCCCCCTTCTCAGCTGCTGCGGGCGATCCCGAGCTCCGCTATGCCCGTCGTGAGCCCGGGCCCAGCAGCTCTGTGACCGGAGATCAGTACGCGATCTCCGTTTGATCTCCTTCTCCGAATGCAGGAAGTGATGTGTATTACATCACTTCCGCATTCCTCTGTCACTCTCTGGTACAGAAGCCGGAGTTTCTCATGAGTTTCTCTGGGGTCCCTAGGTGACATTAGGGGTCTTAAAGACCCCTGATGTGTCTATAAAGAGGGACTGTTATATGAATTGTCTCACCACTAAGGACATGCTGGTTTGTGAGTGTGCCATGATGCCTTTCTACTGTTCTACTGTTCAAAGCCCATTTCGTGTGTACCTTACTGTATAACTGGTAACAAATTGTTGAGTGCGTTTGTCGTTTGTTTTGCCGTTATATGAATTGGCCATCACATAGGGGGCTTGTTATCCACCTACGTGATAGCAAAAAAGTTAAGTGAAAAAAATTAGTTATAAAAAATTAAGCCACGTAGAAAAGCAATTTTTTTTAAAAAGTCCCCCGCCCCACGACATGCAAACATGCGTTGAGTGCGGCTACATGCGAAAACGACGACTGCATCCACTGTGCTGCACGTTACATATTGCCGCGAACGTCGCAGTGAGAGCAATAATTCTAGGGCCATCAATTACTGATAACACTAAACTGATGAGCGGTGACAGGTTTTTAAAGCGTCTATGGTCCATTTTGGGTATGTTAGTTTTTTCGCGATTTCGGGGCCACTCGCAATTTTAAAGCTTGACATGTTTGGTGTCTTTTTACCCAACGTGATGCCGTCTTTTATATTTTACCAAACATATGGGTAATAATAAATGTTTTATAACAACGTAGGGAAATGTGTGTTTTTTTTCAAAATTTTCAGTACTTTTTTCATTGTATAGTAAAAAAAACAAAAACTCCCCAGTGGTGATTAAATACCACCAAAAGAAAGCTTTATGTCCCCAAAAAATTGTATAACATTTCTCTCAGTACAGTGTTGCATGACGGAATAAATATCACTACTGTACTGCAGCGCTGAATACTGAAAAATGGCCTGGCCAGGAAGGGGGTATAAACACCCCGGTCAGCAAGTGGTTAAAGGGAACTGTACACAGAATAGGATTGCATAACCTAAAAATAACAAAATAAAAATCAAACAGGGATCCCGGATGCCCTTTCAATTGCCAAAGCAGTGAGCAGATCAAAGATCTTGCCAACAGTGCTACCGAGAGATAAAATAACCTGGTGCTTACACTCAAGATGCCAAAAATTGAAATACCACTTTGGGTGAAGAGTTTTTAATTAAGTGGAAAACGACACAGCAACTTGAAAAGATGCAATGAAACATACACACTAAACGTTCACTGATCACAAAGCGAACCTCGAGCTTGCAACCGTCAGACCAACTAATCCCTGTGTGTGCAATCAATTCAATATTAGTAAACTGCTCCAGAATAAGGGCCACAGTTACAAGCCATTCAACAGCATGGTTCAAGCTGAGACATACTCATTCCTGAAAGTCCCTGTTCCTATAATGTAGTCTGGCCCAATAATCCATCTAGTCCTAGGAGGTAAGAGGATGCATAATCTGCAGATAAATCTTAAAATAAAAAGCCTCGTGTCACCAAGCTTATGCTATGACAAAAACACAACTAGAACGGGAATGATATTCAAGTGTCAAAATGAAACTTGACACACACCTCAAAGGCTGAGTGACACCACCTCCGAAAATTATGGTTCACAGCTTAAAAGACAGATTTTCTCTTTCAAAGCAAAATGTCCACACATCTCCCTTACCTGTGTCCTCAAAGAGCTAATGAAATCTGAAACCGGCACATGTGCCAAGCCAGGCTACTCTACCCTGGGAGCCTAAAAATAAATGGCGAGGTGAAGCCGTCACCCAAAGAGCAGTGCTGCTGGCTGCACGGGCGGCTGGCTGTCCGAGAATAGAGAAAGCCAGCTACAGACCTGGCAGGAGGAGGGCAGCCCTAAATGGAAATCCTGCTTGTGGGGGACCCTGTGTGCTATTCCTGGTGTCACAGCTACATGGGAGCACTTCTCTGTGCATGGAACACTTCGTGTAGTCCTGTGCATTCCACATTCAAACACTGGGCTTCACATCTTACAATGCACAATTCTGTTACCCAGTTCTGACTATGCAGACTTAGGAGAACACTGTACCAGACTTCATGCACATCAAGCAGCATTTCATAAAAAGTGCTGTAGTTGCAGTGCAGCAAAGCCTTGTTTCTTCTGTAAAGCCACCCAAATTGCTAAATTCCCGCAACTACTTCAGAAACATTCCATGAGCTCACTAGCAGGCACAGAAACCACAACAGTATTAATATTATACACTGAGTAGCCTGATTATTATGACCACCTGACGTTTGTAGGCAAATCAGCTATAATTTCGCGCTGAAGTTGCTAATCCATTGCAGATGCTAAGGATCCCCAACAGTTCTCAAACAAACTTTGGTGTTTTAAAGGAGAACTATGGGGTTAGGGCTTTTCCCCATAGTTCTCCTTAGGGTAACAGGAGGACACAAACTAGCGTCCTCCCGTCACCCTAGGCTCAGTATACCGCGAGCTGCTGCTCACGGTATACAAGACACCGCAGCTGAAGCGGATCCCGACAATTATGTCTGGATCCGCCCAGCTGCGTGACTGACAGCTGGCTCTGCCTATCTAAAGGCAGAGCCAGCTGTACCCGCCCCCTCCCCTGTCCGTTCCGCCAGTCAGCGCTGGTGGATCGGAGGGGGGAATCCAGCCCCTCCCCTGTCAAGGCAGAGAGCGGTGACAGGATCGAGAGGTGAGCGAACGCCGGTATGTGTTCGCTCACCTCCCGATCTACTGAGCCGACCTGTGAGTTTCATTGTCACAAGTCGGCTAGAACTATGAAGCGAGTGAAAAGCACTCACCTCATAGTTCTCCTTTAAATATGCAGTCTAAGGCCCCATTCACACTGAGCGGATTTCCGCCACGATATCGCGCATTTTTGCCATTGATTTTCAATGGACCTGTCTTAATGTACAGCTCCAAGTCGCCCGTTGCGGTCACGCCTGCAGGACCCTTTTTCGGCGGATGTCGCGCAATGTTTCTATTTATGCAGCCCGATGGTGAAGGTCGCGCTATCCCTGCCACGCGGATCCGCTTTCAAAGGTATGTCGATTAGTGTGAATAGGGCCTTAAAGTGGACCTGAACTTCAAAACTTAACATTTGCCAAGTTGTAGTGAACATGTAGAAACAGTTGTCCCTACAGCCTTATAGCTGCATATCTGAAGTCAAAGATCTATGGCACTGCTGTCTGACTACTAGTCTCAGGAGATTTAGAGTGAGGTTTGGGGATTTCACTTCTGTGCTGTTCAATGTTCTCCTTGCTGGAGGCCCCGACATAGGGAAGAAAAGCTCTGCCTCTTCCATGATGGTTTCCACACAGGGACACAGCGCAGAATAAGGCAAGTTAGAAAACGGTCAGCCGCAAAACTGCTGACTAACCGTTTGCCATCTGCCTGCCCTTTTCTGGCAATTGCTTCCAGAGTTACGTTCTTAAATGCATTATTTCTAACTTTCTTCTAACTTCCTGTTGCGTTGCTTGGACAGGATTTAAACTGAAACACCCCCAAATGGTACAGGACAGCACAAACTGAGCCGACTAGGGTTTTTAACTCTTTCAAACGCCATCGTAAACTTGGGGGGGAAAAAAGGCTATATACACATTTTAGGTCTTCTTAAAATGTCCCATGTAAATAGTTTGTGGTTTTCCAAATGGATGCAGAATTTGCTAAGACGCCATAAATTATTAACCAACTCGAATAAAAAAAAAAAAAAAGGAGGACTGTGAAGGTTATTAGACATCTGTCCAATAAGGTTATTGCTCCAGACGGCACATGCACTGCCCTGTATTCTAACATTAAAACAGGACATCAATATGTAATGTGCAGTAACTCAATGCAACTTTACAGAAGAGAGTAAAGATTGTTTGCTATGTATTACTGCACTTGGCAAGCCATTGGTTCCCTTTGCATTGTTGAACAAGTTAGTCTGGACCGACAGCAAAAACTAAAATGGTCTGTATGCACAGGCACCGGGGTATGGTGCACAAGTTAGAATGTGAGAATGGAGTCAGTTTTCTTACCGGCGTGCTTTTATGGGCAATCTCTCCAGGGGTCGGCCAATTGGTGGCATCACCAAAATCCCCAACCTGTAGATACAGGAAAAAGTAATTAATAGATCATTCTATTTAGAGCCTTTATACACATTTCTATTTCTCTTCTTTGGAGCATAATACACATATGTAAAGCACACAACTGTACTTAAAGTACTCATTTTAGAAACCCTTGCTACCCCCACATTGCAAGAATTAAGTGCTTTTGCTCCAGACCCTAAAATAAACATATAATCACCTGATCCTCAGTTCTGCCTGGCTGCTAGACGACCGGTCCCCGCAACCTCTTCTACCACAGGCGCCATCAGTCCATGTAACACAGACATCACCACATATAAGCATTCTGATGAAGGGGGCTTGCCCCTGAAATGCGTCAATCTTGGCTGACTGCGGCCGGTGATGTGACCAGAGGCGATACCATGTGGGTTAACAGACAGTGTGGCCTCTTGTTTGTTGTTAAAGCCCGATGAAAACGTTTGCTTGCGAGTACATTTATCCCTTGTTTTATTTATCCTAATAAACGATTTTACGCACGGAGGTGGCGCTCTGTTCCCTTTTGTTTTCCAATTGTACTGGATGAGAGGACATTCCACAGCCAGAGCGGAGGGAAAGAGTGGTGATCGCTGACTGCCACATGACCGCAGCTGCTGCTTTTCATATGGGTCCATATGCAAGTGTACCTAACCTTGTGTTGTGTTACTTTCCTCACCAATTCCAGTCCCGCTTTCAAGGTAAGCATTAATCTGATTGGAGGCCGAGAGGCACTTACTAGAATCGCCACTTGTTTTAAGCACGCTTTTTGTAGCGCGTTCAACGCTCTACAAAACGCTCAAACATAAAAATCCCATTGTTTTCTATGGGTATGGTTCACACCTTGCCGTATTTCAGCCCGTCTGAACGCGCTACAAAACGGCCTACGCCTGAAAAGGTACATGAGCTTCTTTGCAGCGTTTTTGTTGCGCGTTTCCATTGGGATACAGCCAAGTAAAAACGCGGTAAAAACGTGCGACAAACGCGCATATTCGATATGCCTAGGTGTGAACAGAGCCTTAGGATCACCTAATCACTAAAATAGTGTATTGGGGCAGTAGAGGAATGTTTAGCTGAAAAACTGAACTAAATTTTGACTAGCGTAAGACTGTAGGATAGACAGTAGTATTGTAATCAAAACATTACCTTGCTGCCTCGTCTTGTTCGGGGAATACCGGCCTTCACCACCTTGGCAGGGATTGGAGGGTCTGCAGAGGAAAAAAAAAAAACCCATTAGAACAGGAATTGAATATTCTGGGTTACCCAAAAACAAAACAAAAAGAGTCAATTACCAGCAAACTATAAAACATTAGGACTTAGCAACCAGCTGCAAAGAGGACGCACGTCTGTTTTGACCATAGCAACTACATTCCACCTACAATTTTTTTTTTTCTAGAGCAAATCAGCCTCTTCATAAATACCTTCAAACATACCATAAGCTTTCAGCTTGGCTCTTCCCACCTAGCATGACCTGAATATTGCACACAATAACAACGAAGTGCGATGTAATGCCACATGCAGGGGAGTACATCCGGAACTACCTGGTGCTTGAGGGATTCTTGGCAAGTGCTGAAACCACCACCACCTAGCGTCCCTCTTTGGCATGTGTGTTAACCTAGCCTTTGTATAATTTTAGAAAATAAAAAAATAGCTATAGGCAACCGATACATGTTCTGCCTCAAAACACATTTTCAGTTGTACAGCAGCAGTCAATTGTCTGATCTCAAATATGCATGGTTGCCCTCGTGCTGATTCCTCATGGCAAACCAGTTCTGCCAGCAGTTTCTTAAAGCCAGAAAGATGTATACATCAGGCCTACTCTAGTCCCGTGTGCCTCCATGCTCTCTGCATGTTGCTATGACAGCTTCCTCAGATGTGGAAACATATGGGCTGGCTTGCCTTTAGCTTTCTAAAGGTTTTCAGTTTCTTTTAGATGCACTTTCTAGGGAGATGAGGTACCTTTGGAATTAATTTGAACATAACACGTGTTTATGCAGATCCATTAATCTTCATGGCAAATGAGCTTGTGCCAAGACTAAAAAAAAAAAAAAAGAAGCTGCTGGCATTGCACAATGGATGATATTGCAGACAAGAGAATGGCAATGATCGCCAACAGCGAGACCCCGCGACCACATCACCAGGAGTGTCCCTCCACTGAACCCACACCAATACCATCAGAAGTGGTCACAACCACGGTCCAACTTATAAAAATATACCTCCACCCATTATTAATCCCTGGTTGTTCACCATCCAAACATTGTGCCAGTCAGCTGCGCTCCTTCCCGTTTTCCTAATGTTCTCATCATGCATTTTGTGTGAGCTGCATGTGCACTTAAAGCCCCAACTCTAGGCTGCTGTTAAATTTAAGCATGCAGTGGGGTTCCCCTCACACTGTCTGGATTAAATGCTCATTTAACTTTGCACGGTGGGTGGAGAATAAGTACAAATTCTTCAGGGCTGGAAGTGATTAAATCGATAATGAGAATAGTTGTCAACTCTCCACGCTGGGAGGAGGGCACAGCAAGCAGTGGGCAGGTGCAATAGCCAGCCTGCTATTGGCTATTGCAATAGCCAATAGCAGGCTGGCTATTGCACCAACCCGCTGCTGTATTTACATTTAGCTGCCATCTGTTGAATCTTGCCACTGGCAGCTGTCATTCCTCGGCTGAAGCTATCCAAGTGTCATGTGCTTACAATACAATAAAAAAAAAAAAAATGACAAGAGGGGGAGTAATTTGCAGTTTCGGCCCGACCTTTTCTGCTCCATCGCCATTCATTTCAGTCATACCCCAAATGCGCCACCCACCCACAGTGTGATCGCCTGGTAGAGCAATGCTGTGCATTTCAGTGCGGTGCGATTGCAAAAATTGTGCATGCAGTTTTATTATGAAGTAAACTTCTTGTATGTAACACTATTTTGTTTTAAAAACAGATGGTATTTAATTTATAAAAAAAAAAAAAATTGCCCAACTAATAGATTATGAAAATAATCATTAGTTGCAGCCCTAAAATACTTAGGTTAATCTTCGTTCCTGCAGGCTTCCTCTCCATATAACTGGTTCCCCAAAGCCCCCTTTACTTTGGTCGCATCTCATGTCCAATGAAGGACCAGCAGTCCCTGCATTGTACACGAGGATAGAGTGAACCCACCCACAATCTGGAGTGTTAAACCGGAGGAGCAGAGCTGGCTGCCAGGGCAGCAAGAAACAGGTATGTATTTGTACATATTCCTTCACCCCCAGGCAAATTTGCATTTAATCCATCCAGAGCGAGGGGGTCCCACTGCACAGGTACATTTGACAGCAGCCTGCAGTTGGGCATTAACTATGGAAAATGCAGACATACGGGCAGACTAATTTATAGCAAACATCACCAAGTAGTAGTACCAAGTAGTTGGAGCTTAAGGCCTGGTTCACACCTGGGCATTTTAGAGCGCATTCCTACGTAAAACGCTCAACATGTGAAAACCAATAATTGCCTATGGGCATTGAATGTTCTGATAAAACTCCATTAAAAATGCTACAAAAAGGTTTTTGTTTTTTTAAATGCACCTTAAACAGGTATAAATGTTACAATAGATTTCATTACTATTCTAAGGTAACATAAGCAGCAGAATAGCACAGCACACTCTTCATAAAATCCTCATTCTACACATGAAGATAAAGTAATACAACAGGGGGCAGTATTGTCATTTAGATAAGTGGATCTAAGCCTGGCTCCATAACTTTGCGTACATGATGGTTAATGAGCATTAAAATCAGAAGTGTATACCAGCACTCCAATGCACATACACAGTATAAGCCAGCGCTGGACAATTCCCAGGAGCCAGGTAGCCAAAATACACAGCTGGAGCCTAAAGGTTTTCTGAAGCTGGCTCCATTGGCAAACAAGAAATTTTAAAGTGAAAATATGTTTCATGAATGGAAGACGATTGCAGAGCTGTATGCTGATGTGATTTTTAGTGAAAGGGGGTAAAGGTCTACTGTAATTGCAACATGACTCAATCCTAGAGAGTTTAGACAGGATTTAGACAAGCATAGAAAGAATGACCAGATTGCTAGTACAATACTAGCCGGTGAACCAGCTTCGCAGTCTCAATGAAATATTCGCTATGGCTCACATGTTACTAGCGTTAAAGTCCGACAAAATGTTATACAATGTGCTATTTACACACTAGATCCACAGGATTAAGGCCTTGTTCACACCAAGCGCAGAGAGCAGGTGCAGACCGGATCAAAACTGTGTCCAATGTATTCGAAATGGTATTTTTTGCTCCAGTTTACATCACAGCGTGCAGTTCCAGGGCAGGTGAAAAAACTGCAGCAAGCCCTATTTTAGCTGCTCTGGAACGCATGCAAACGCACCAAAAACGCATGCAAATGCCTGGAAAGCACTGAAAGCCAGTGTTAAACTAGAAACAGCCCGGAACGCATAAAAAAAAACGCACAAGTCACTGCACTGCGTGTGCAGAAACCTGAGCGGATCTGCTCTGCATTTGGTGTGAACAAGGCCTTAAAAAAAGAAATAAAAAAATACAGGTTTGTCAAGAAAGCATCCTAAACATAAGGAATCATTCAATAGTGCCCTGCAAACAGCAGCAATTGCTAGACCCAGATTTCAGTTTACTGTTGTCATAGCCGATTGAACAAGCCCGATAATTTACAACCATCTGCCAAAACAAATGGACAACAAATGAAGGTTAGCAAAGCACTGCTGAAAAATGCAAATGAAGCTACTTGCTTTTAGCTAGAGCAGTTTATACAATAGGCGACACAAATTTGATGAAAATTCCAATCAATAGAATGATAAGCTTCATAAGACTCAAAAGTATAAAAAGTACACATTAGCACATCTTTCCCTATGTCCAGTATAACTCCCCTACCAGGGCTGCAACCAACTAATCGATAACGAGAATAGTTGTCAACTATTCTTATTATCGATTAGTTGGTTGGATCCCCTAGCTCTCTTCATGCTGGGAGGAGGGCACAGTAAGCAGTGGGCGGGTGCAATAGCCAGCCTGCTATTGCAATTTGAAATGGCCAATAGCAGGCTGGCTATTGCACCAGCCCACTACCTGCTGTATTTACATTCAGCTGCCGTCTGCGAATCTTGCCACTGGCAGCTGTCATTCCCTGACTATTCAAGCGCCATGTGCTTACAATACCATTATTAAATAAAATAAAAAAATAAAAAGGTGGGAAGTCATTTTTGGCCAGACAAATTCTGCTGCAGGAGATGCGTTGCAGTACCATTAATTTCAATGGCACCCTAAATGCGCCTCCCACCCAGTGTGAACGCCCGCACTGGAACGCACAGTACCGCAATGCTGTGTGTTCCAGTGCAGTGCGATTGCAAAAAATGTGAACGCAGTTTTATTCTGAAGTAAACTTTGTGTATTTTTGTTTGTAATTAGGGACGGTACGTAATTTTTTTATCCGATTAATAGGGGGGAAAAATAACCGGCCAGCGAATTATGAAAATCATCATTAGTTGCGGCCCTAACCACCACTACAAACATCCTCACTGGAGTAAAAGACAAAAATGTCATAAATTGCAGCCTCAGTCCTTAGATGTGGTCCCTGACTTACTTTTCTTTTTATCAGGATAAGCACATATTCATTTCATCCTGATTGGTCTACCTCTACACAGGCTTTCCCCCTTCAGTCTATCATGAATGCTACTACCAGACTCATTCACCTAACCAACCAACCGCTTAGTTTCCGCAACCCCCCTGTGCCAATCTCTGCACTGGCTTCCAATTGCCCAAAGAATTAAATTCTAAATGTTAACCAGTTACAAAGCCATCACCCTAACCATCCTCTCCACTCCTCCCAAGACCTCCAGTTCTCTAGCTCCCTTGTCAACTCCTCCCATGCTTGCCCCCAGGACTTCTCTAGAGTCTCTCCCATGCTCTGGAACTCCCTACCCCAACCTGTCTGGCTATCTCCTACTTTGACTGCCTTTAGCCGATCCCTGAACACTCATCTCCTCATGGAAGCCGATCTCACCTAAAGGCTGAACTATTACTTTCTTAAACAACTCATTCCCACACAGCTACCACCTTTTGCATCGCTTGTCTCTCCATTTTAGATTGTAAGCTTTCACGGGCAGGGCCATCCTAACCATCTTGAATTGTATTGCAACAACGTCTACCCGATATTGAAAAGCACTGTGCAAACTGTTGGCGCTATATAAACTGTATAATAAG